AGCTTTTCTTTTTTTTTTTTTTTTTTTGACAAATGCACCTTTTCTTTCTTGCACATATTAATTCAATGTTATTTAAAATTTTATACTTAATAATAATTTTATTTAATAAAAGTCAACATCCTAACCCACCATTTTTTCTCATATTTTCTATAATTATATTTTGTAAACAACAAAATTGAAAATTATTTTTAAAAATTCATAATAACTAAACCTTAAACAAATTGTAATTCATATTTTTTAACACAATATTATTGTTTCACTTAATATAACAATATTTTCCTTAAAATGATAATATTATATCAAAATAAAATTTTCTATGTCTAGATTTAAAAAAAACTTAGTCTTTATTTATAGAGATCTTTATTTATAGAGCACAAAAATGATAAACTTTGATATAATTTTTTTCTACAGAAAATATTATTTGAAATAAGATAATTGATCTCAATTTATTAGGATGTAAAAACAATCAATAAATACTAACAACCATTACTAAAATTGCACATGTGGTCCATAAATACTTTTGTTATTTTCTAAAAATATTTGCTCAGGTCCCACACTAAACACTTTTAAGAACTAATCCATCTCAGTTTTTTCGAGTTTTCAATAGATTCATCGTAAGTATTAACCAACCATTGAAAATTAAATTCAATAGATCCATTGTAAGTATTAACCAACCTAACATAACTTTTTTAGGAATATATAGTAGTTACTAGTGAGAAACGATTGTGTATTTATGTTGATTTAGTTAGAAAATTAAATAAATAAATCATTGGTTTAAGGAGTTTCACTTTACATGTGGTTTATTTTTATCGATTTTGATATTAATGAAATACATATAAAGATCTGATTCAATTTTAGGATATAGTTTGTGAATGTGCAGGAGAAGATTTAAGGAGGAAAAATAACAAAAAATTTATCAATATTTTATTCAAATAAAAACAAATGAACATGAAATACTAAGAGAATAATTTATATATTTTCAAACTATAAATTTACTAGGATAAAATGTAGATACTACGTAGATTCCAAACTAACTAATGGTATTAACGAATGGTATTTGTATTAATATAGAAGAGATATTGAGATAGCTAACGAATGGTATTAAAGACCACTAATTAGTGTGTTATCGCCTGATTCAAGTAACCTGAAATTTCTATTTTGGTGATATGCAGTCTTGTTAAGATTTTTTTTTCTTCCACTGTTGAGATCAATTCGACTTGGTAGATTGCGTAGTTTGGTAGGTGGTCACAAGATGAGTCTGTTTTTGGTAGCAGAACATGATGAATGACATTTACCAAAGTGGCATTTCTCAAATTAACTCACTTCACCGGTTCAAATTCACACGCTGTTATAAGAAAACAAAAACTCACCGGATGAATGATATTATCAAGTTTGATGGTTGCAAACAAAAACTCATAGACAACCAAAACGAATCAGAGTATTCGTATTGTGATTTCTCTGAAGACCATGAATCCTAACTAAAGATCAGTCATTCCCGAAAGGAAACACTTCATCAAAACATTCCTCATCACATCACGAGGAAGAACATTACTTGTCAAACAATTTCCAAGTATAAACAATAATAACCAATCTCAAGAAACACAAACGCTAGTAAATAGCTGAGGAAGCAATTACTTACCTTTAGACGGCATAAGAAGGTTTACACTTTCAACAATATCAACAATCAGGTTAGTAAAACGTCTAGACAGAACAATCCGGAACAGGTTAAGTACTACTCGTTTGCAAGGGAATAAAGCGTACAAAGGAGAGCTTGTTGTATGATTTGCTTCGAGAGCCAATAACTAATTATTTGATTAATTAATTACTAGATTTTGACATGCACATGCGTGTGAATATTTGTTTAATTTTTTTTAAAGAGAATACCATATATGTTTATTATATAAAAAATTGTGATATTATCATTAATTAGTATTTTATCGAATATTATTGTACTTTTAATTATATACTAATTATATACCGTGCTGAATATTGTTGTATATTCTCGAACTTTGAACACCTATAAAGTTATTAGTAATATGATAAGTCAGTAATGATTTGAATGGTTATTTAGTTTCAGGTCAAATTTATATTATTTATGTACATTAATATTTTAAATATTTGAAAATAGTAATTATGTATGTAATATAAACATACTACTTATTTTTGGAAATGGTAAAATTAGTTTGTGATTCATATTATTTGTATTAATTTGTATATATAACCAACTATGAATACATAAATGAATTATTTATTTTAAAAAATAATTGTTAAAACATATTCTTATTTAAACAACTATTAATATTGATCACAAATAAATCAATTGATTATATTTTTAAGAAATAACTTGTTAAGAATAATCAATACTAAAAATTAGGACTAATGAATTAAAAATAATTTTAAATAATAAATATTTAGTTAGAGAATATTTAGACATATTCCGCTAAGAATAGTGAAAAGTACTATACTAACCCTCGTTAGTAATGGTTTAATAGTGCTTTTGGACTATGCCTAACTTTTGATTAATGAGTGTTGTTCTCAGAACAAAAAAAAAATTATTAATTAAGCCATACAAATTTAGATTAGTTTTATTTGATAAGTAAAAGTCAAGACAGGTTATGAAAATTATAGTTTAGTTTTTAGAATATGAACTCAAACCTACTTTAACATCTCTCTCTCTCTCTTTCTATTTATCTAAAACCAAAGCTACACTGAATATGGACAAGAAGAAGACAAGAGAGAGTAAGAAAGATCAGTCTACTTATGGACAATTATGATGGAACAGAGAAGAAAACCCCAGTGACCACGACGACCCATGAACCATTTGCTTATTGAGGTTTGTTGAGGCTAGAAGTGAAGATGGTGAGGTGGTTGGGGCGTAGAGTTTTCAACTTGATCCACCGGAGATTCACTACCATTTTCCTCTGATGACTCGCTTGGACATTGTGGTCCCTGAGACTGAGAGAATCCTGGTGCTGAAGCTGCGCTAACTTCCACTCTCTCTGGTACAAAGCTTCCAACAATGACCTAATTTTTTTTTAAAAACAACCAGAACCAAAGTCAGTCTCTTGAAGGTTTCCGTTAACACAACTCTGACTATAAAATGGTTTTAAAGAAATGGAGTAAGTAATTAACCATGACTTGTGATCCAGCTACAAGCATTCGACCAACACAACCCCCAAAAATCTTGCCATCACGACCAGCCAGAGACACACTCAAGTTACGAGTTATGGTCACAGTACCATTACTCTCAGTATTGGAGAGTATACCTGACATTCTCATGATATCATATCGTCCCTGCATACATAAACACAACAAAAAAATATAAAAAACAGATTATTCACAAACAGAGCTCAAATCAGACCAAGGACATGAAATGTCTTTCTTTTTTTTTTTGGTAAGATGTTAAGATTACCATTTTCTGAAGATTTTACAATGACATGAAATGTTTATACCTCAAAGTTAACAACTCCAATAGAAGTGTTAGATTTAAGCGCCGCACTAGATACAGTGCCTGAAGCTGAGAGAATACAGGCCTCACGTGGTTCTTGACTCATAAACACCACTAAACTCGTAGCTATGTCCTGAGAGTACAATGGAAGATCATAACTAAAAATCTTTAAAAGGTTCAAGATTTGGTTTACACAAGTCAAGAAGACACATATATTACCTCTCCAGCATTAACTTTAATGACATGAGTTGTAATCGATCTTCCTCCCTCTTCTTCTGCTCACACACACAAGCAGTGATCAAAAAAGGGTATCAAGAAAAGAAAGAAAGAAAGATGAAGAGAGTCTTTGAATGTTACCTAAACTCTCGTTGCGCTGCTTGTTACGGGAGCCAGGAGGACGGCCTCTGCCTCGTTTAGCAGGTGAGTCAGCATTTCCGTCGCTATCAAGATCAATGACGTCAGGAGGAGGAGGAGCGTACTTCCTTCCTCGTTGCTCGAGCATGAGCGGTTGTTGAGGCTTGCGCAGAGAGAGAACCCCGACAGTTGGACGTTGGTGCTTGGCCTGAGGAGTTGAGGTGGGACGTTGATGATTCTGTTGATGCTGTTGGTGGGTTCCGTTAGAATCCATGGATGATTCGAGAAAGAAAAGGGAAGAAACTTTCTTGGAGAGGCTCTGTTTTTTGAGAGACAGTGAATGCTTTTTCTGAGCTAACATGAGCTCTTCAGATATATATACAGTGGTGAGGACGAGGACGATCCCTCCATCACCAAAACCGGTACGATTCGGTACGTTAATATTCTGGTTTAGAGTTTAGCTCTCCTCTTCAGTCCTGATTTTGAATTGGATACTAGAGTTTGGCGCTTTAGGTTTATATATATACTGAAGAGTGAGTTTTTGACTTTTTTTTCCTGGTGCTTGAAGAAGATAAGAGTCAAACTCAAAATGTCAAAGAGAGCGCGTCTTGTTACTATTAGTTATTACCGGTCTAATAAAACGTCGCAATTGTCAGGGGAATTGCCACGTGGCGGATATATGAAGAAGCAAGCCAAGCCAGTCTCAGTGTGTGTGTAGTCACGCGGGTAAACTCAGCTGAAACTCTCAGACTGCTTTTCCTTGTCCTTGTTTTCCACGTGATCAAATATTTTTTCGGTTTCTTGTAGTTCAAGGTTGAATATTTCGCTGAGTAGGAGAGAGAGAGGGGAGCAAAGAACAACAATTACTCAATATGACTGATTGTTTTAGTTAACATTACACTGAAGTATCTGTATAGAAACACTCTTAATAGACTTTGTCCTTGTTCATAGGTTACATAAAAGATAAAACATGGAAACGAGAGAAAGACAACGAAATCAGGTTAGAATGAAAAATCAAATCACTGTCCTATAAAGATGTATATATACCTTGCAGCATCTTTTTCTCTTCTTCTCAGTTTGTTGGTTGCAGTACATACACACAAAAAAAAAAGCTGTACTTTAAGTTGATTTTTTTTGATGTATTTGCATCTTTTTCTTCTATCTGTTGAATGAAGCTGCAGCAGATGTGTCTTCATAGTGTACTTTCCAAGCATTTCCACTGTCTGTTTCGCTGCAAGCTTGGTTTGTAGTTGGGATAGCTGCAAGGTCTCCATCTAAGCTCATTTGCTGCACTTCTGCTGATGACAGTATCTTTATGTTTTGCACGCAGTTCACAAATTCCCTGAGGAAAAGACAAACACACAAGAATGATCAGAATGTCTGAAATCTTTTTGACTGATTCAGAGAGATTTTGGTCTGAAACTTACTCCCAAGGATCATCACCAACTAGCAATATATCGTTTTCATGATCAGTGTATACGAGTTTCCAGTCAGAGATTTGTGGATCCTCCAGCTGTCCTTCTATGCCAAACATTCTCGCTAAGTCATTCCTGAGCTCCTCGTAGCCGCTATAACGGGTAACATCTATTGATCTTCCTACTGACCCTCGTTTTTGAACCTTCAATTTTAGCGTTACAAAACACTCAGTTGCAATAAGAAGAATAGAGTTTTGTTTAACAGAGAGAAAGATCACTAACCTTTGTATATGTTCGCATTCGTTGAGCCTGATTGGGCCAGATTCCACCATTCATAATACCTGAATCATTAATGCCACCGATCTCATTTGAACCTCCTGACTTAAAGGGAATGCTGGGAATACCAAATGACTGAGAAGCACTGGATAGCTCCGTCTCGATGTCTCTTGGCGCATTGCCATAGTTGGGGACCAAGTTCTGAAAGTCCTTTTGAGAATAGAGAGCATCAGGATTCACAGCTTCAAGATTACCAGCGAAAGCTAAGTTGTTTCTTGGATGTTGAGCTTGGAGGTCTCCATCAAAACCGAAGGATGGTAATGGGAAAGTCTGTTGCTGCTGCTGTCCAGGGCCAACAACATCAGGACAATATGTTGTTCCCGCTGTGGTTACATCGATTTGATCTGTTACTACCCCTTTAAACTTGAACTGTTCACCAGCACTCTTCAAATTCACCATGCCTTGTTGGACTGGATCAGATGCAGGTACAGATACTGCTTGTCCTTGTTGATTTCTGCTCAGGAAATTTGTCGGTGAAACATTATCATGTCCGGTGTTATTGGCGGATGGCGAGGTTGAACAAGAAGGAGCTTCTCCATCTATGTGACCAGATTGTGATCTTCCAGCGGCTACAATAGGCTTATTATTCATATATCCTTGTTGCTGCTGACTCACCTGAATCTGTGGAGGCTGCATGAACGTTGAAGCTGGGAAGGTGTTATTACCCTGTGGCAAGGGCTGTTGATTCTGAGACGACAGAAGTTGTTGCAATTGATGGCTTTGTGTCTGCTGCAACGACGATAACTGTGGCTGTAAGGACGAGCTCACCGGAGGAGTTGTCTGCTGCTGCTGTTGCTGTAGTTTCTGCAGTAGCTGCATCTGAAGCTGCTGTGAGGGACTTGGTTTTGATGATTGTTGTTGCATCTGGAGTTGCTGGGGATTTTGGGACAGAGTTTGTTGTAATGAATGCATAGACGACTGTTCCTGCTGGTTTCTCAATAACTGGGTACTGTTGTGCAATTCCAGTTGCTGTTGAAACTGCAATTCTTGCGCTGTCATTTGAGATGATCCCTTATTCCCAGCGGAAACCATATTCTGGTGGGTCATTTTAGCACCATTGGCTAGCATTGACTGCTGCTGAAGCTGGGACTGAGTAAAACCAGTAGACAGATTCTGACAAGGGACTTGGTTAGAAACAACACTGACGCCATTGTTTACAGAACCTGTGTTATAAACCCCTTGTTGCTGCTGCTGATGATGTTGCTGCAGCTGTTGATGTGACATTTGCACTTGTTGCTGCAGCTGTTGTTGTTGTTGAGATTGCACCATGGCTGGTTGTGCTTGCATCTGTTGACTGATATGGTTAACCATGTTCGATTTGTTGAACTGTGTATTCGCGGGAGAGAGGTTTGGGGATTGGAAGTTCAACAGCTTTGAATGGTCGTTGGGAGCAAAGTTGTTAGGTAGGTTAAAAGATGGTAGCTGAGTAGTAGCAGCACCAGCTGACAAAGGGTTGTTCTGCTGCATACTCATCCACTGAACAAGGCTTAAACCAGGAAACATCGAACTCTGCGCGTCTTTCATCCCAAACTCTTCTCCCATCCAAGGCATTGCTCTTTTGAAAGCGTTTTCCATGTCCAACTCATCATCTGCAACAGAAACCTCCAAAGGTAAGTATCAGAAACTCAATGAAAGATCAGTGAAAGTATACGTTTGAAGTAAACTTTACCTGGCATCCCTGGCTGTCTCGGGTACTTAGGTCTGAAAAACGGAGGAGGGCATATGTAAAACGGAGTTATAACGGGTTCAATTTCCCAAATAGATACTCGGCTTGGTCTATCTCCAGCTGTTGATTCATCCCATCCTACCTGTTAACCCATGAACAAAAGCCTTTCAGCAACTGATTCAGAAGAAATGATCAGTTTTCAGCAAATGATACATTACCTGAAGGTTACGCCATTGGGAGCCTTTCCATCTGACAGGGTCAAGATCACTAATACCGGTGACTGTACCCATATACCTACGAACACCACAATCCTCAGTCTCAAACATCATCCGGAACCGCATTCCAAGAGATACTTGAGAGTACAACGCTTTGTTGTACTTGGCTAGAGGAACTACAAACTCTGAAGGACTTGCTCTTGGATTGAAGAAGATGGTGAAAGGGCTGCTATTGGCATTGGCATGAGCTGCAGCTGCAAGAATCCCAATGTGCATACTGTCGCTGGATATCACCGATGATGAAAGAGTTGGTGTTTGTCTATTTGCACGTCTTATACCCAACGTCAGCTGTGATTTCTCATCTCTGCAAAACAGCTCTAATGAGAAAAGTAAAGTCCATTTTCTGCTTAGTGTTTCATCCAAGTATGACTCATACCTTACAAACAAAACTGAATCACCGGCGAATAGTCTCTTTGTGCTAACGAAAACGCTCCAACCAGTGGTAAGCAAGTGTCTTTTTGGTTGGCCTGAGATCAGATTACAGCAAAGAAAACAGATTAGAGAAGTTTTTTTCAGTCCTTTAAGCTAAATAAACCAATCTTGGGATGATTAAACCTCGATAGATATGTCTAAAGGTCCATGTAGTGTCGTGTAAATCTTTAGCTACAATCTCTTGTGCAGGGGGTTGCATCGCGAAATCCTATTTAAAAGCATCCTCAGAACTTTTAGCAAAAAAATGAAAACAAAGCAGTTTGAGAGGTGCTTTGATCAGAGAGAGACATACAAGAGGAGGGAATATTTTCTCAGCTGCACGACGAGGTACAGAGAATCCACCGTGAGTGCTGGTGTCACTCGCTGTAAGAGTCTTGCAGAAAAACTCAGTAGGTTGTCTGTTTATCTTCAGACCCATATCAGAAGCTAGCAATGCTTCTCTGTCATACTGATACACATTTTGAGTGAATGATCAAGCAAAGATCAGCTTTTAACGTTGTTAAATCTCAACCAAGACACCACAAGTTAAAAATGGAGAGTGAAGATTCAGACCTTATTCACAGGTTGAAGAGTCATTTGTGCATAGACTTCATCCGTCTCTGTATCAGCCTGATTCAGATTTTCCCAAAAAGTCATGATTAGCTCTTCTTTAATATTGATTCACAAGTTGAGATCATAAGAGAGGCTTACATGTAGAGTAACACTATGAAGCAAGCAAATCAGCTTAGAAGGAAGATTAGGGTAATTTGGAATAAAATCTGTTTGCTTCTGCATAGACGCTGCAACCTGAAAAAACAGTCCATTTGGATCATATCATTACTTTGAATCAATTGTTTCAAAACGCTAAAAGAATTGCGTTTTGTGTTTGTGTTTGCGTTTGGAACCTACTTGTTCGCTATGTCCTTGAGGGAAGTAAACAACAAGACTTCCGACAGGAGGCAATGAAACCAAAGGACCTGCACAAGCGTGCCATAGCTGAGAATTGATTGCTTTCTTCTCTCCTGTTCATAGAAAAAAAAAGAACAATTTTTAAAACAAAGAAACATGTAAAGTCTGAAACTTTATCAAAAAATTTGCGGCATTTATGTGACAACAAACAACAACTGTAATAAAGACAGTGAAACGAACTCGATTTGTTGGCTTTCTGCTGACTGACTCAATGTTTGAATAGAAATAAAAGAAACCATTTTTTTTTTTTTACAATAACACTGTGATGAAACTCCAAATCCAGAATGATTAAAAGGTCGTACCTTCTGCTGGATTAGGATGAAATCCATTTGATGGAGCCTTCATGGTTTCCAGAAAAAAAAAATTGTATTTTTTTCTTCTTTTTTTGCT